ATTCTGGGAGTTGAAGTCCACTCATCTTAAAGTGGCCAAGTTTGGACAACACTGCTGTAACAGGACAATTTGGGACAGAGCTGTAAACTTCTGGGGGCAAAGCAAAATCTCTGCATCTGAGTAACAATTCCACAAAAAAGTTAAGACTCCAACATTTAGTCAAGGAATCCATCAAATAAAGTATTTGGACTGGCTAAAAAGTGGCACAATTAAAAAAAAAAAAGTCTCGGTACATGAAACCATGTTCACATGTCTGCTCTCTGAAATGTTAAAGCCTAGAATTCTCGCTCCCATCCCAGTTTTCACACATATATAGCCAATTTGCTCAGAGGCAGATTCACACTTCTAGCAAAATGCCAAAACAACATCTACTTCCCTGCTGATTTTGTTTGGAAGGGAGGCATCAAGAAGGAAGCGGGAGGAAGGAAAACACCGTCTTCGCTGCCTCCTGGAGCACCTGTTTGGCATCTTTTCCTGGCTTGGCCTGACAGCCAGCCAGAGAGGGCAACTCACTGCAAGAATGTGCTGAAAAAGCAGCCCCACCTGGCACACTTGATGTAGCATGGCTAGCGGAAACATCTCCCAAGCCGTCCTTCCTTGTATGAATATTTATAGCTGACAAACACCACCGTGAGCCTTCGTGATGGACCACGGGAGCTGAAGGGAATCTGATCAGTAATGAAGTGTTAATTGGAGAGTCTCCAGGCCTGCTTGTTAAAGAGGACTTCTAATTGCATTAATAATTTGAGCAAGGGAGACATTTTAGAGGCCAAGGTGGAGAAACTGTTGTGGACCAGGGAGAGGTATGGGCTGTATAGCATCCAGCCCACATCACATATAGGGGTATGTGAGTTGTAATAAAGCAAAAAAGGTAGGATAGCTTAGTGGGGAGAGAGAGAGGATAGATCCCAAACCCTGTATTCCAATTACTCTCCTGTTATTTTCTGCCAACTGATTTATCCTCTTATTATTCTTGATGCATTGCTTACTCTCTCCCTGAGGCCGGTGTGTTATTTATTTATTTCTACAGAAATTGCTACCTCGTTTTCCTCACTGGGGGTGGGGGTGAAAAAAAACCCCCACAACGTGGCTTATAAAATATAAAGCAGATTTTCTAAAAATGGCAGTGAGAAATAAAATCA